TGGTGTCGTAACAACGACAATCATTATCAAGACTGTAATGCTGTCCTGTGAATTCATTACTATGTTTGTTAAACAACAAACGGTCAACAGGTAACCCGTCTTCAAAATAGATTATCGGTTCCTGACTACAGGAACCGATAATCTATTTTGAAAAAGGACTGATACACACTTCCAATTGAATTTTAGTAATGAACGCACAGGCTGAGCTGTATGTCCTACGAACCAGTAAAGCGGGATTTTATTTAGGGCTATTTTATCATTCGGTTACCGATATTTTAGCAGAAAAAACCCTGAATAAGGTACAAGACTCATGAGATCCCTGCTGCGTTTGCCATGCATGGCCAATGCCATTAATGAGCTGGTATAACCGCCGTAGGCGATTCGCTGTTGTGCCACACTGCAGCGTTCCGATGTGTGTGTCGTTCTTGGGGGAGCGGGGGGGGGGGTGCATCACGTGATGTTCGGCACGGTGTCCGACGTTTTGCTCCACGTGCTGGGGAAGCTTCATACTGAATGCAAACATGTCAGATGCATGCCGAACAACACGCGGTACAAGCCGAGGAGACATCAGTGAATATTGCTTTAAGCGAGAGAGGTACTGGAGCGCAAGGTTGGAGAGCAGGAAATTTGAGAGGGAGATAAGGCGGCAGGAGCTGTCATGCGGAGAGAACAGCAGCAGCAGCAGCAGCAGCGTTACTTTGGGATGTTTTCCCCCCTTCTTTCTTCGGTAGCAATCTCTTATCTTTGCACAAGAGATCAAATGTTTCGACGAAACTCAACACTGAGTCAACATCAACACCTCTCCTAGCTTCCACTCCCCCCCTTCCACCCCCGTCTCCAACGTAATTGGAACTGCCCGAGGTGCTCATTAATTAAATACCTACACGCGTCTCTCCGGAATGTGCCATACACCCATCTGGGGAGGGAGGGGAGGGAGTTCGTAGAGTTGTTTAATGCAATACAAATCGTACAATGATGTTGTTAATCAACCGCCAGATGATGATGATTTTGTAGTCCTCGCCGGGCCTTGCGGGGTCGTGGTGGTTATTTAATCACCGTGAACAGCCCGCTGGTGAAGACGGGGAGCATATAAGTGCAGTACAACCTTGGATTCGCTACACTGCTCTCCGCTGAACATTGCGTAACACAGCCACGCGGCCACCTATAACATCCTGGTGTGCATGGCGGTGACCCATGCAAGCATTGTCCAGGCTCAGACCTACTTAGTTTCTTTGATCTGGCGAGATCGGACGCAATGCGGGTGAATCGCGCACTGCTTTGTGTGTATAATGTTGAACTTCTTTCGCGCTGTACGTAGCCAACCGTGCTAATCGGAGGTGCTTTGATGCAATGCCGTATTTTGCTTGCAAATGCTCTTGCAATTTTAGTTTCAGTCCCCACAAAGACTCTGCTACAGGTGTACATAGGACCGATTTACCCTTTGCCCGTTTCGTCAAATTCTCGGAAGCTAACAGGGTTTGAGCCGGGTTAGTATTTGGATGGGTGCCCGCCAAGGTTACCAATTCCATCACAAGTTTCGTCGACCAGCCGTAGTCCCGTCTCGATCTATATGCTGTCCAAACCCGCTCTCCACACAGTCAACACTATGTCTATAATGTGTGTTTGGTGTCTGATCTGTGTGTGTGTGTCTGTTGCTCTTTCTCTCTCTCTCGGTGTATTCCCAGGCATGCATGCATCTCTCCGTGCTTTTCTTTGCAGCTGCTATTCCATTGTGTTTGTCAGTGTCCGTGTTTCTGATTGCACGTGCTATGCACTGGTTAAACACATTCCTCTCGAGGTACATTGGTGATCCTTTTTTTCATCACCAAAATTAGGTTTTCCAAAAAGCGCTCCAAGCTGCTGCCGTTCAGCTATTTATTTCAATAACTTTCATCTTAATCCGACTTCAATAGTTTCCTCGGTACACACATCATTTGTATTTGACCAGATAAGGCCCGCTGAGCTATACAGATCTTTTTTTAGAAGCGATCTGGCCACAAATGATAGCTCAACAAAGTGGCGTTTCACGTGTAAAATGTATAGCAGCCAAATACTCTAAATGCATGAAAAACCAGTGGACCCGGAGAAAAATCCAAGCGACCACAGGGAAGGGATCGAACCCACGACCTCCTGCATACCAGGTGAGGTAGTTAACATCCATTAGCGTCCTTCTAAAACAGTTTTTTCTTAACTCGTTGAACCCACAGTGCAGTGCATGACGACATGAACATTATTATAGAAATCGATGGCGGAGGGTGACCACCTGACTCAGAGACGCTGGGTTCGAAACCTGGCAGCTGCCTGTGAATACCTCTCCAGCGTCTCTGTGTGTACTCTGAAGAATAAGGGCAATTGCCCGAAACGTTGTCTATTCATAAACACGTAAATAAATAAACAAATGTGGGTCAGATCGCCTAAGTATAAATGTGTCGTTAACTCACCACCACCCGACGCATCCAATTAGTAAGGTTTGTCGCGTAAACAAAGCGTGCCAATTAGTTACTAATTCTAGATTTGAAGTTTTCGTGACTGCAAGGATTCATACTCTTTGGGGTTTTTTTCGGTAAAGTCACGTAGGTAAAAAAAAAATTTAAATCACGACGTTTCGGAAGCAACACAAGCCTCCGTCCAGTAAAATTGCTGTAGCGTATTTTACTGGAGCGGTTACACCTGATGACGGAGTCTTGTGTTGCTTCCGAAACGTCGTGATTTAATTTATTTACATTTTTTACCTACGTGACTTTACCGAAAAAAACAAAGAGTAATTAGTTACTACTTCAGTACACTGGCGTTCTGGAGAGTAAACTGACAACATGTACAATTGCCTACGATGTACGTTTTCTTTTTATAGCAATGTTGTTGACGAATTTGCGCATTCATAATGGTCTGGTGATACTGTATTGCGTTTGCAGTGGTGCACAAGCAACTCTGTGTGCTTTGGAGGAGGGTCGTTGCCTGGAACGTTCGCCTGTGTAAACGACATTGTCAAGTCTGACGAGTCGGTGGTCGTTCAGCTTGGGCAGCAACAACTGCACAAACAAAACTATCGTGATTTAACGCTTTCGTGACTGCAGGGATTCATCTTCTTGGTTCTTTCGGTAAAGTCACGTAGAAGGGAAGTAATAAAATAATAAAAATAAAACATAATAAAATAATTCTCACGACGTTTCGGCTACAACTTGCGTTGTAGCCGAAACTACAACTTGCGTTGTAGCCGAAACGTCGTGAGAATTATTTTATTATGTTTTATTTTTATTATTTTATTACTTCCCTTCTACGTGACTTTACCGAAAGAACCAAGAAGAAAACAACTATCGTGCTAAATTGAGTTTGTTTTACACGTTTAACCCTTTCGGATGTAACCGCCAGGCGAAGAACATGTCTCTCTCTCTGTCTGTCTGGCAGGGCGGGTGGGAAAGTGCTGCCCCCTAGTGTGGCGCAGAGGTCACTTGAGTTTGGAGCAGCAGTTCTGTGAAGTCTTCTTCCGCAGAACGCTCTTGTCTGCGGGTTCAGCACCGAGTCTTTGTCTCGTGACGACGCCGAGGTCGCATTCGAGGTGAAAGTGGGAAGCGTGAAACCATGTAAATGAGAGTCAACTTGCAAGGTGTGATTGAACGTCACAAGAAAGGCTGCAAATGAGGGTTCAGGATGAAGTGAGCAATAGGCTCGATAATATTTGTGTTAAATATCAGCTGTTTAGCCCTTCTAGAACTTAATTATATTCATAATAATACATAATAATACAGGGTTTTATTTGGGTTACATCGTGTAAATATATATAAATGTGTCGCTAAACCCGCCACCACCCGACACAGACAATTAGTAAGGTTTGCCACGTAAACAGAACGTGCCAAGCTAAAGGGCAGTTTGAAAAGATGAGTTTCTAAGACGGACTCAACTTTCGTGATCCTGATTGTCTTATTGGCAGCGGCAAAAGGCGATGCAAAGCTTGGGGGCCGCACTGGCAAAAGCCCCATCAGCCCAGGACAAAAAAAAGATCCTTGGCCTCGGAGTACAGACAGCGACCCCAAGGCGCTTGTTGACAATCAACAAGCGCCTTGGAGGGCGTCCATAAATGACGTCACGCACCTGGGGGGGGGGGGGGTCAGACATTTGTGACGATGTGGGACGAGGGGGGGGTTTGAGAAATGTGACGTCACATCAAAATGCGCAACTTTAAATGAATATAGACAACACGTTTTACTTAATTAAATAAATGTTTTCTCCTACAACATCAGAGTGCAGCGGCACATTAAATACGCTCAACAATGACAATAGTTTAAAGCGATTTGAAGCGTGTTTTATTTGGGGGGGAGGGGCAGAGCTTTGTGACGTCATATTTGAGGAGGGGGGGGGTCTGACTTTTTGTGACGCCACGTGACGAGGGGGGGGGGTCAAAAATCGTCCAAAATCGCGTGACGTCATTTATGGACGGCCCCTTGCTGAAGGTGGCGATGGGGATGAGACGCAGAATCAGACTCTCTAACTCCGTTCTCACAGATCTGCGGGGAGTTCCAGCCAATCCATTCGCATGAAAGTCACCTGATGATGATTGCTTGTGTTGAAATCGAAACGTCGTGAGAATTTTATTGTTTTATTTTTTTATTTCCCTTCTACGTGACTTTACCGAAAGAACCAAGAATATAATAACATCCCAAGGGATAAATCCATGTTCCATCAGCATGGCGTCATCGTCAGCAGTCCAGCTCGTTCCATCAACATGACGTCATCTGCAGCGATCGAGGTGGTTCCATTAACATGACGTCATTTACAGCGATGGAGATCGTTCCATCAGCATGACGTCATGTGCAGCCATCAACGTAGTTCCATCAACACGACGTCATCTGCAGCCATCGAGTTAGTTCCATCAACATGACGTCATCTGCAGCGATCAACGTAGCTACATCGACGTGACGTCATTTTTACAGATCCCCCCCATCGGCGTGACGTCATCGACGGTTTCACGTGGCGTTTTGACGTCACGGCTTCAACGTAGGCCCTCTCCGATCCTATCGCGCGCTGCGTGCAGGCGACTGCTGCGAGGCCGCGCACGTGGTCACGAGCCGGCCCGGGGCCTGTAGCTCACCCCTTAATCGCTAGTTAGTTTGTAATCGCTAGTTAGTTGTTGTTGTTGTTGGTGGTGGTGGTTGTTGTTGTTGTTGGGGAGCGATGTCGCGCGTGTTCGAGGGTTTCCGCGCGCTCGGCTTGTACACGGGGCCCGTGCCGCACGTGGTGCGGGTCCACAGGCGGCACCAGCAGGCGTACGTGCTCACCGCGGTGGGGCCCCGGCTGCACGCTTACAACGTGAGATACACACACACACACAGCTATACACACACAGTTATGTACAGTTATACATACACATGTACAACGTGAGACACACACACACACGCAGCTTTACACAGATATACACACAGCTATACATACACAGTTATATACAGTTATACATACACATGTACAACGTGAGACACACACACACACGCAGCTATACACAGATATACACACAGCTATACATACACAGTTATATACAGTTATACATACACATGTACAACGTGAGACACACACACAGCTATACATACACAGCTATACACAGTTATACATACACATGTACAACGTGAGACACACACACAGCTATACATACACAGTTATATACAGTTATACATACACATGTACAACGTGAGACACACACGCAGCTATACACAGATATACACACAGCTATACATACACAGTTATATACAGTTATACATACACATGTACAACGTGAGACACACACACACACGCAGCTATACACAGATATACACACAGCTATACATACACAGTTATACACAGTTATACATACACATGTACAACGTGAGACACACACACACACGCAGCTATACACAGATATACACACACAGCTATACACAGTTATACATACACATGTACAACGTGAGACACACACACAGCTATACATACACAGTTATGTACAGTTATACATACACATGTACAACGTGAGACACACACACAGCTATACGTACACAGCTATACACAGTTATACATAGTTATACACAGTTATACACAGTTATATATAAACATGTACAATGTGAGACACACACATGCAGTTATACATACACAGTTATACACATGTACACAGTTATACACATGTACAACGTGAGACACACACACACGCAGCTTTACACAGATATACACACAGCTATACATACACAGTTATGTACAGTTATACATACACATGTACAACGTGAGACACGCACACAGTTATACACACACAGCTACACACACAGCTATACACAGTTATACATACACATGTACAACGTGAGACACACACAGTTATACACACGCACTTATACACAGATATACACAGCTATACACAGATATACACAGTTATACACGTCTCTACATACACATGTACAACGTGAGACACACACATAGCTATACATTGTACACAAGTGTGCACACACACGTCTGTACACTATACACACGTGTACACACACACACGTCTGTACACTATACACAAGTGTGCACACACGTTTACATTATCCACAAGTGTGCACACACACGTCTGTACATTATCCACAAGTGTGCACACACACACAGGCCTATAGAGTATACACAAAGTGTGCACACACACGTCTGTACATTATATACAAGTGTGCACACACATCTGTACACTATACACAAGTGTGCACACACACAGCTGTACACTATACACAAGTGTGTACACACACGTCTGTACACTATACACACGTGTGCACACACACAGCTACACATTATACACAAGTGTGTACACACACGTCTGTACACTATACACACGTATGCACACACACAGCTACACATTATACACAAGTGTGTACACACACGTCTGTACACTATACACACGTATGCACACACACAGCTACACATACACAAGTGTGTACACACACGTCTGTACACTATACACACGTATGCACACACACAGCTACACATTATACACAAGTGTGCACACACACGTCTGTACATTATCCACAAGTGTGCACACACACACAGGCCTATAGAGTATACACAAAGTGTGCACACACACGTCTGTACATTGTACACAAGTGTGCACACACACAACTGTACATTATATACAAGTGTGCTCACACACGTCTGTACATTATACACAAGTGTGCACACACACGTCTGTACATTGTATACAAGTGTGCACACACACATCTGTACACATACAACGTGCAGGACACGAGTAATCATGCCCAGTACACGCATGTCTGCTGTACACCGTGCACTCGTACAGCGAGAGAGATTTCCAGATTGAAAACTCGTTTCTTTAGAACTGCTGTTTGTGTTTTAGTTTGTGTTGTCCTTCCACCGCACCTCCGATTAGCATGGGTGGCTAAGTACGGTGCGAACGAAGTTCAACATACATGCACCCGTGTGTGTGTATACACACACACACGTATACACATCAAGGCGTAGCCATGGAGTCAACATTGCGGGGGACCAAATCTTCTAGGGTGTCTGGGGGTCCCAACTCAGAAAAATATCTACATTTTAAAACTAATTTCCTGCCTAAAATATGTAAAATTTACTAACACATGGGATGGACTTTCTTATCTATTTTTAACAATAATGTCGAATAGTGTATTGTATTAAATTGCTCTGTTTTTACTTTTTTACCATTTTTTGTAGCATTGTATGTAATGGCAGAGATTAGGGATTAATAAAGTACAACCATAACCACAATCATATAAACAGAAATCTATGCATTGATTTATATGAAGACAAGTCCAGATGTTGTGGCCAAGGTTTAGCAAATTGTTGTTTTTATTTACATAGCATAGCAATTGTTTTTTTTTTACAGCAATATATTGGGGGGGACATTTTCAGCATATTTGAATATTGGGGGGGGGATGTGTCCCCCCCCCAATAAATATTATAATTACGGGTCCGTGCACACGGCGTGATGAATACACGCAGATGCGCATACTTTAGACAGCCAATATACATCTGTACAACATAATAATCATTCACCTTTACAGTATATTGGTCTGCTTAATTATGTTGTTGCGTTCTCCACAACGACGCAAATTATAAATTTGAGTTATGTATCGTATAGTGACCCATCTACGCCTTTGACTCTAGCACCTGGCAGGCCAGAGCATGAGATAGGTGTGCTCTGCAAAAGGCCCATTGCCCAAAACGTCGCCTATTATATACTTTTGAACGGCAGTGTTATTGACGAATATGTTTATTGTGTAGTTATTTCTGCTTGTACACCACTGCCAAAGCAGTGTCACCAAATCGGAGTCTTTATAGACGAGATAATGGTTGAATACGGGACATCTGTGAAATAAATATTCAGATTCTGAATGAATGACTGACCACGTCTTGTGTGTGTTCCACAGGTTAACAAGCTTGGAATTGTCTCCATCAGTGAGTGATGCACATACGCGCGTACGGACACACACGCTCAAAAATACATAGATTGTCCCCCTTGGAGACATTCAAATTGGTGGGGCAAGTGCTGTGAGCAGGTGCTTGTTCACAATCATAATATTTATTTATACTGGAGGAATGCTATGAGCTATGAAGCGCTGTTTCACAAATGTCCAGTAGGACAGGCTAGAATGTTACAACAACAAACAATACGCAACACACGATAGGAGTGATAATTATAGGAAAGGTAAGCAAATATCTTTTAAAGTATGTACAAATATAAATCAAAAATTAGTTTTCTTTCAAAGTAATGGCCACTGTACTTTTTGTATTTCAGAAACCTGGCCACAAATTATAACTCGACGAAGTGGCTTATGTGGAAATTTATAGCAGCAAAATAATCTGTTTCTTAATGTGGCACAAGAGAGGATGGTATGGCCAGCACCACGTCCACCCACAGTTATGTCCCCAGTGATGATGTTCACGCACACACAAACCGCGCGAGGTACCCGGTTAAGGCCAAGTCGACGTTGGAGAGGTCCAGCACAGGTCAGAGGTCGCAACCGGGTACCCGATACCCGGCTACCCGTACCCGGCTGGGTACGGGTACCCGTTTGCGACCCTGGTGCGGCCGGGTACTGGTAAGGAATCAAAACCCGTTTGCGACCTCTGGCACAGGTTTAGTTCATTCTCTCACGGATAATTTGATTCGTGCATTGTGAGCGTAAGAATCAATATTAATGCAGCGGTGCATGCCCGGCCATATTGCAACTCTATAGAGTATATACTAAAATCTAATAATGATAACCCTTTGCCAATGCAGTGCTGGGTGAAGGCCTCCCAACACTGTGTCGGTCGTAGATGTTTGACCATACTTCACCGCACTGGACAGTGTGAGTTGGTGAAAGGGGTGTACAGTACTGGTCCAGATATTCCCCACCCTAACATTAGCTGTGGCCGGGAATCATACTCGGGTTATTGTGTTCAAAGCGCAGTGCGCGAACCTCTCCGATATTGCTCCACCTCTTGTCGTTAATGTTTCAAGTGTATAGATTATTTCTAATTAATTCCTAATCAATACATTGCTGTGAAGGGCATCATACATCACAGGTGAGACCAGCATTACAAACAGGCAGTATTGATGTTGTGTTACTCTTTCCAGCTTCCAAGTGCGGCGAATCTCGTCAGATCTTGGAAAAGCTTTGCATGGCCGGGCCTGGTTATTACTTGGATGGGTAAACAGCAAGACTTTCCAAATGTTGTAGACACGATACTAACGTGGCTAGGGATGGCAATGCTGAGTGTCTTCCCCTGATATGCGTGGTGGGTGTTCTCCGGGTTCTCCGGTTTCCACGCACACGAAGTCAAACGCTCATTGATGGAAGTGGCACAAACATCCCAAGGCAAGAGGGCCGATAGACGAAGTCATTTATCTTAGTACGTGGCGATGTACAGGTTGTATATGTTGTTGCCCATTTTTGGAATTGGCCAGAAATTCCCAGTGCATCAGGACCCTTCTGAAAACAAAGTACTTGACTTTTGAGCAAGGCTTTCCCCGAGAGGTAGTTGTTGTTGTTACAAGCGACTTCACTGCAACTTCACCATTCCCCTCACAGGCAATGCCCTCCCAGAAGACATCAGCTGCCTCGCAGCGAACCGCATGTTGGCATTTGCGGCGTACGGAAGCAAGATCGCTACCATCGCTCGCGGGAAAGAGGTGGGTGTACAGCATCGCAATATCGGCAAGCGGATGCCGAAGGGAGAGACCTCGCGTTACCAGATGTGATTTTCTCGTGTCTCCCTTTCTTGTGATTTGTACTTGTCGTCTACAACCAGCGAGAACATTCTGCATTTTTTTCTAGATTTGAAGTCTTCGTGACTGCAAGGGTCCATACTCTTTGGTTTTTTCGGTAAAGTCACGTAGGTAAAAAATAAAAATAAAATAAATTAAATCACGACGTTTCGGAGGCAGCACAAGCTTCCGTCTTCAGGTGGCACCGTCACAGAAAAATTACTTTACTGAAAAAACCAAAGAGTATTCTGCATTTTGTCCGCATCTCTTCCTTGCCAAGGCTCGTGCATTGCCATAACCTTAGTGTTATTTTAGTCGTGTTTCATGCATTGTTTTGTGTACACCTCGCTGTTTACTGTACTCTTTAAATTAACTTGAAATAAATCACCATGTGGCACGTTCCAACACACGCATGCGGCTGTTAGACATTTGATGTGTTGATATGTAGATTTTCGCAGATAAGGATTCAGAAATGAAATGGTCATGTGGGTTACACGCGTTTAACAATGCACCAGTCATTGTTTCAGCTCACCGATAAGTTTTAGTCATTAGATTAAAGTATCCAATTAAAAGATTTGGTTGTGAAAATTGTTCTTCAACTTACCGAAGAGCTGAAGCAATCGTAAATGGGGCGTTAAACGCTTGCGAACGCGACTGTATCATTTGTTTGGCTATGTCAGGTGGTAGGGTGTCTCCTGGATTTCAATGTAGACAGATTATTCCGCGGTCTAACCCAAAGATCGGTGATGCATAATTTTCATGTGTGGCAGAACCGATAATCAATTTGAATATATTTTTGTTTGCATGCAATTATCGATAGCTCCAATAAAATGATTTTGAGCAACCCTAGTTTTGAGGTGCGGTGGGCGGAGGAGAACACTTGCCCGTCGCCTGAACGGACACTGCGTGTGCGCGTGTCCGTGCGCCCCCCCATCGAGCAGGTGGTGCACACCTACGAAGGGCACTCGGGAGAAGTCCACCTCCTCCTGCCGTTCGGAGATCACCTGGTGTCCGTGGACAGAGACAACGTCCTCGTGGTCTGGGACGTTCAGACGGAAGGTGAGCGCGTCTGGCATGTTGAATCTGTGTGCACGCGGATTTGTGTGCTGTCGTTTGCGTGCGAATGTGTGAGGGCTCGTGTTGGTTGTAGCTTAGTGGTTCGCGCGCTGCGCTACAAACCAAGTGGCCCGAGTTCAATTCCCGCTCAAGGTCGCCACCAGTGATGATTAATTGAATTGGTCCTGGGGCCCCCCTAGGTGGACTCGGCCTTAAGTAAGTACCTGATCCGGTGTGTAAACATCATCACTGGGTAGACCAAGGCAGGTGGACATGGTGTTAGCCACCCACCCCCTCATGTGCCGTGCCTGCCTTCATAGGCGCTTGCTAACAGCACTTGCCTCATCAGCCTGTTGAAGACTATATGGGGAATCTTTGTGTTTAAATCCACGGTGTGACCAGCACCACACGCTTGGCATTAAAGCCAGCACTCCAACCCATACACTTACGGCGCTTTTGACAATCCACTGCTAGATGAGAGTTCTCCGCGCCGTGGGGCTCGTTTGAGTTATTGTACATACTTCACCACTTTGGTTAATGTGATTTGGTGAAGGCGGGGGAGTATATATGTGCTATACTAGATAGGATTGACCACATTACTGTATGCTAACGATCCCTTAGCACGGCCCTGAACCCACCTATGACAACGTAGCATACATGGTGGTCCCTACTATACTTGACAAAAAAAGGATTTAATGAATGGGGTGGAATCATGACTTCCAATTGTGACTGATAATTACATCAGTTCACATCCATAAATGATGTGGAAACTCATCACAACACACAAAAATAGTGCAGGCTGCAATACAAATACATTGTGCAACACACAAAGCTGTGCGTTGCATTTACAGTTTTATGCAGACTGCAATCACTTACTTTCGAGCTGGTGGGCTACATAAGGCTAAGAGCTTTCTGCACATGCAGTTCAGATCTCTGTTGTTAAATCTAGTTAATCACGTCGCGGCGAGGTGCGCGACACGTTACGTGTGTACCAGCCACACCGCGACCCCTTCCCTCTTGACATGATATTTCACCTCGTGCCGCCCTCCCTGCCCCCTCCGTTGTTTCCCAGAGGAGTACCTGAGGCTGGAACCCGACCCCCAGGTGTTTGGAATCAGCGCCGTCGTGCACCCCAGCACCTACATGAACAAGGTCTTGCTTGGCTCGCGGCAGGGCCCTCTGCAGCTGTGGAACCTCAAGACTGGGTGAGTCCGCTGTGCCATCGTCACTTCACACAATTACAGTGCCGGTGGCAGCTGTCCCTGTGCAGCACAGGGTGGACGCGGCACTGGCCAGCAAGTCGGCATTAGTCTGCCAGAAGGGAGTGCTGTTGTCACGTGGGCTTCCTAAATCAAGTGATTTGCGACTAATTTATCGAATTTGACCCACGACACTGGCACACACACACGGCCTACTATTTTTTTTATAACGCCATGAATTTTTAAAAAATCCACTGTGAACCAGGCGTCACATATTTATATTGATAATGCAAAATAAATGGTGATTTATAAATTAAATCGTTGTTGTACATTTCTGTGATGGATATTTAAAATGTTTGATAAAATAACGATTAGCATGTGGCACCCGAGGTGGTACCGATTATCCACTTACGGGTCAGGCAATGGATCTAGGAATGCTTCGTCACAGTTTTGAGGACTCATCTGAAAACGCATTTATTTTCTCTTGCATATCCGTCTGTGTAGGGTTCTGTTCCTATTGGGTTTAAATATTGAGGGTTTTTACTGCGATTGTGTTGCAAAGCGCTATCAGACCTCGGGTGAATAGCGCTACATAAAACTGAGTTTTACTTACATGTTTTAAATGCTTGCCGCAGTGGAATTATGAAACCATTAAACGTTCATTCCCATATCCCGATGTGTGTGTCTGTTACCCTACTCACATCGACCCGTGTCTCCCCCCACACAACAAACAGAAAGCTGCTCTTCACATTCAAGGGATGGGGTTCAGAAGTTACTTGCCTGGAGCAGGTGGGTGTTGTGTATAAACAAAGACAAAGATCCCCCTTATAGCCTTAACACACTGTTGGGGCAAGTGCTGTTAGTGAGCACCTATGAAGGCCAGCACTGCAGACGGAGGGGGTGGGTGGCCGGCCAACACCACGCCCGGCCGCATTTGTCTCCCCAGTGGTGATGTTTACACACCACACCAGGTACTCATTTAATACTGAGGTGACCTAGGGGAGGCCCATAACCGATTCAGTATATTGGCACTGGTGCTGGCCATGAGCAGGAAACGAACTGGGGTTCGCCGGGTTCGTAGCGTGCTAACCGCTGCACTACCGCTCCCCACATAGACACGCACACACACACCGTGTGAACAACGCTAATGTCTGGAGCTGGCCAAACATCGCGACATCCCAATTCTGGCCGTAACAAATCGTCGTCGATTGTTATGCTTGCGGCAAAAACACACATTCAATCGCTCGTGTAGGAATTAGTTTTTTCAATTTGTAATATGTAACGTGTTTACGTCTCTCCTGTGGCCGCAAGAGGCTGCTACATACACCACAATGTTAAGCAAAAAAATAACAAATCAATTTATTTGTGAAGGGGGGTTGGAGAAGGGAAGTAATAATTTCACTTTAAATCCCAATGCAGGACCCTCCTGACAAAATAAAGTCTTAAGGCTCGGTGAGGCTTTCCGACTAAGAGTGCCAATATTTAGCCTGAGATACCACATTCTCTAAGGTGGCTGTCTGTGCATTTGTGCGGGAGTTCATAATGGCTGTGTCTTAAGCTGTGAGCTGTCGCCACTTCAAACCGGGGTTTAAATTGTGGTTTCAGCTCCCAGCTGATTAAAACAGGCTCTCAAGCCTAGTGCATTGATGTTGGCTTTGGTCGGGGGTTGTGGTTGTATGCTCGTGATTCAATGTGTCTGTCGATCCTTTGGCCATGGTGGTGGATTAGCTGTAATTAGTGGCTCTCTGACGCTTGTAGTTAATCGTTGTGTTTGGTGATTGGTTGAAGTTGCTGTCTGGTAGTGGCCATATAATAATCAGAGTGTATGAGTGCACCACGATTTGCTCATTCAGCTTACTCGCCTCACCTCCCTTCAGGCCCCAGCGGTGGATGTTGTCGGTGTGGGCCTCCAGTCCGGCTCCGTGCTCCTGCACAACATCAAGGTCGACGAGACGCTCATGAAATTCCACCAGGACTGGGGCCCTGTCACCTGCATATCCTTCCGCACAGGTGGGAGCGCCCCGTACCCTGCATGGCCGCTAGGGAGTCGTGTTGGGGAATTCGAGATGTGTGCCCCCCCCCCCCCAACTTCTGTGCATGGGAACTCGTAAGTCCATGTGCAGGTCACATCCTCAGGGGGAAGCTGAATGGATGACTTCCATGCCGCCTCCGTTGAGTCCAACCGAGGTTAACAATGTAGTGCACGAGCTGGTCAGGGTTGCCCACTATCACATGCTGGGTTCACCCCCTGAGCCGCATTGCGCTTAGCTGTCAACCACAATGCCCCACCGCAGAGCCCTATACAAGTCTGTGTGCATGGTGGTCACACATCCAAACCGTGTATCCATTCTCAGTCCTGTTTAGTTTCTGAGATCTGACGAGAGCATGCACTCTTATTTGTTCATAGGCACTTAATTGTCAATGATAATTACGAGAGAGACCTGAATGCCGTGTTGAACTTTCGAGTGTCTCTGTGGTTTAAGCCTCCGACTTGCAATACGATGGTCACCAGTTCATATTATTGGTTCCTTCGGTAAAGTCACGTGGAAGGGAAATAATAAAATAATAAAAATACATTTACATATTAAATTCTCACGACGTTTCGGCCACAATGCAAGCAGCCGTCCTCAGGTGAAGAACAGCTGTCGGAAAGACAGCGTGCTAATTTTTTATTATGTTTTATTTTATTATTTCCCTTCTACGTGACTTTACCGAAAGAACCAAGAATATGAATCCCTGCAGTCACGAAAGCTTTAAATCGAAAAGGTCACCAGTTTGTGCCTTTATGGCCGCGTTGTAACGCAACGTTCGTCCCGTATCGCGGGTCCTTTGTCGCAGACGGTCCGGCCGTAATGGCCACAGGAAGCTCCCTGGGCCACATTGCACTCTGGGACCTGCACGACAGGAAGCTGTTGGCACAGATGCGGGACACGCATGCGGCCGCCATTGCCGGGGCGACCTTCATCCACAACGAGCCGCTGCTCCTCACGACGGCCGGGGATAACGCCATCAAGGTGCGGACACTGCTTCCCCGTCGCTCCGGGACGCTGCCTCTCCGTGCATTCCCCGTGTTTCCTCTCGTGCCTCGGTCTTTCCGCGTGTCTTTCTGTGCGTCTTCAAGCATCCGTTATTCCCCAATGTGTCACGATTCCAAGAACGCAGGATGAGATGTTACTATCCTTTGTGCAAGCACTTCAAGAGTTCATGAACAGTGAGCCTGGTGAAATTTGGGGAGCGCATCGTCAGTAGTGTACCTTTGGTTCCTAGGGTGTTTCGGCCTTTCACACTATACACCCTCCCCAAAGGCAGGCCAGCGACAGGGTGATCAATCCTACGCTTGCAGTCCCATTCCCAATTAGTCATAGGAGTTGCCTTGTTGTTGATAGCCAACATCCCGTGGGACTAAGCATGGCAGGGGCGTCCTCTTCCCTGAGTCAAGCATTGTTGACCGCATACCTCCTGGCCCTCTCACTTCGGGGCCCAGCTGGGGTCTTTCTTATGCCGAGTCTTCTCCTCTGCCTTCTCGTACATCCCTGGGTATGTCACATGCCTCCCTGTATCTCTCTGCCACTGCCCCACTTTGTCTTGCCTCACCTCTCCCCCAGGCATCCCCTCATCCCCCCCCCCCCTCCCAATGCCTTTCCAGTGTGTTCTACACCTTCCCACACCCCCTCATGGCGGCCTCCCTTTGCTCCCCCCAGGTGTGGGTGTTCGAGTCGGCGGGGGGCAGCCCCCGGCTGCTGCGCGAGCGCTGCGGGCACAGCGCCCCGCCGACGAGCATCCGCCACCACGGCCAGGATGGCTTCAACATCCTGAGCGCCGGTGAGAGGGGCCCGCTCGGCCAGGCAGCAGGGGCAGCCAGACATTGACACAAATGGATAAGCATCAGTAATACAGGTTTTTTTGTGGGTTATGTCGCGTAAATATATAAATGTGTCGTTAAACCCGCGACCACCCGACACAGCCAACTAGTAAGGGTTGTCACGTAAACAGAACGTGGCCAATTCGTCACTAGTACAGCACACCGGTGTGTTGGAGAGCCAAGCCACAACATTTACAATCTAAGTACGACGTTTTGCCAGTAATTACAATCCTCCTGTTTCGTTCCTTAAATAGAGGGCTAGCTGTGATGACGTCACTTGTGTGCTCTTCTTGCGTGAAATGGGGGGGGGGGGCATTAATGAATGCATGTAAATGACTGTGGGTATCCATTTCCGTTTGGGTTATTTATATGGTAATCAACATACATTATGCATGCGCATTACGTACGGCCATTGTTCTTGTAGTTCCTGTCGATTGTGTGTGCTAAAATAGCCGTACCAACGGTAATCCCTATTGAAGTATGGTGACCTGTTTAACGACACATTTTTATATTTACACGATCTAACCCAAAAAAACCTCTTATGGATGATATTGGTTGCGAAAGCCTTCGTGTTAAAATAAATAGAGAAGCAGACAACCAGGCAGCCAGTCTGTGTCTGCACATATCACCGCGTTCCCACTGCGTCCGTTTCTCTGTGCTTCTCACCATTTTTGTCCGTATCTCTCGAGTCTTAACCATGTCCGTCAGTGCGTCCGTGTCGGTGTCTGTCCGTATCCAAGTCTGTCTGTCCGTACCTCTTGCGTGTCTGACCGTACTTGTCCACGTGTCCCCCGCATGCGTGCCTGCACAGGACAGGACGGAACGCTACAGTCCTTCTCTGTGGTCCACGACCGATTCAACAAAAGCCTGGGCCGCGGTAATGATCGCACCAGGAGTCCGCGTGGCCTTTCATCGACATGAACACAACCACAAGTCACCGTCAATAGCTCCATCGGCACCATTACCATCGCCACCGTCATTAACGTGACTACCGTGACGGTATCAGTCCGTGGTGCTGTTGGTGAAGTTGCTGGAGTTGTTTGTTATGTTCAGAGTACTCGTGGCCACACCAATGTTCCTGGAGTTTATCTTGATGGTGGTGGTTGCGTTAATGGTGCTTGTAGTCGTATAGATCGTTTTAGTGACCATGACAACAAGTACAAATCTCCATCATCACCTTGATCACCATCAGCACCACGGACGTAAACATCGTCACTCTCACTGTGATCACCGTCTACGTGATCGCCAACGCCACCAACAGGACTATTAACTTCGCCACTAGCAACGTGACCACCAGCACTATCAACATATACCATAAATGTAACCCCCGTTACCATCAATACGACAACAGTACCATTAATGTGACTGCAAGAATCATTGATACGATCACCACAAGTGCCATCAACGTGACCACCATCAACATGGTCTCCGGCCACCCTAACAATGTTGACTTGTGTACTATGAACATAAACAACAGCACCATAATCACTACCAAACATCGTCATCTCCATAATCGGCCCGCCTATATTCACCATCTGTAATGCGTGTGTGTGCATGTGCCTCTGCTCTTCCCAACACTTCCCACGTGTGCCGCGTGAAACGTGAAGGCTCCATCAACAAGAAGAAGTCAAAAAAGAAAGGGCTCAAGCTGGACACGATGAAGCTGCCACCCATCTGCGCGTTCGCATCAGGTCTGTGAGCAATCGCACATGCATGAGACGGAGTTGAGTGTTTGTGCTATCAAACGACGAGTGATGACGATGGTGATGATAACGATGACAAGTTGAAGATGAGTATGGTGATATAATGCCGATCATGTTTGTTCTTAATATGAGTATGCTGCTGTTGATTATGTCTCGGATGACACTGGTGGTGATGATGATCCTGAAGATAATGCGAGCTTCTGCGTGTCCCCTCATATCCCCAAGTGCTCCCCCTGTAACCCTCTGTGTCCGTGCATGTCCCTTTGTGTCTACTTGTGTGTTCGCATGTGTTCCCGTACGTCCCTCTGTCTCCTCGTGTGTCTCTCGTTTTCCCGTGTCCGTGTATCTCCCGCATTTCCCCACTTGCCCACGTGTAGCCAAGTCTCCGTATCCCCACACGTCCCTGCATATCCCCCACGTTTCTGCGTAATCTTACCCGTCCACACGTACCCATGCGTACTGCGTGCCTGCTCGTCACCGTGTCCTTTCGTGGACCCGTGTGCGCCCCCGGTGTGTCCACACTTGTTGCTGGGTGTCTCGCGTGTGCGCCTGCTGGTCCCCTGTATCGCCCTGTCATCACGTTTCCCTGTGTCCCACTCCCCCTCCCACCCTCCTACGCATCCGTCAGAGACGGCACGTCAGAGCGACTGGGACGGCATCGTGTCGTGCCACCGAGGCTTCGTGAGCGCGAGCACGTGGAGCTTCCTGCGCGGATCCATGGGGAGCCACCGACTGGAGCCGGAGAACATGAAGCGCAACCGCACGGACCCCACCACCGCCACGGTGCGACGCCTGCCACGCCGCACCATACCATACCCTACTTTACCAGCAGTACTAGACTAGGGAGAAAAGACTAAATGCGTATCAAGTGCGCACGATTGACAACAACGCAAAAATACGAAACAGACCGTTGATGCTCACCACGCTGGCATTGGTTGCAGGCGGTGACCGTCTCTCCCTGCGGAAACTTTGCGATCATCGGCCTCTCCTCCGGCCACGTCAACGTCTACAACCTGCAGTCGGGCCTGCCGCGCGGCTCGTTCGGCTCGCCCACGGGTAACGCCACAACCCTCGCACGCCCGGTTTAACACACGCACAGGAAGGGGTAAGGCTGGGCAGGTCACGACCTTAATATGGCCATATTCCAGTGGTGTTGAAGTCACGTCCAGCGGCCCAGGCGTCGGCCTACAGAGAGGGTGTCGGGGTGGTGTAAATTGGACTGGGCCACCCATTTCATGCCTTGCGCCCGTGCCGATGCCAACCACATCCTGCCACTGGTCACAGCGCTCGACTCACAAGTGTGATGACCTCTCCCGCTGTTGGCCGTGACCTGACCTCGTGATTTGTCCGCCCTATCCCGTCGTGACGACGAGCAGCTCACAGGGGCCACGTGCGAGCCGTTGCCCTCGACCATCTGGGTCAGATGGCCGTGTCGGTCGGTGGGGACTCGGCACTGCGGGTCTGGAGTTTCAAGTCCCGCGCGCTCCTCCACGAGACCGTTCTCCCCGCCGCGCCGGGCGGCGCCATCCTGCACCGCGACAGGTGACCTCCCGGGGTGTGCGGACTGCGAGAGAGACGAGCCGGTTGAGGCAGGGAGCTTTGCCAGCTTCCCGAAGAGGCTGCCCCCCCCAGCACGTGAAGAGGAACGTCGGGCATTGTACCAAATCGCACGCGCGGTACAACCCGAAATCCCGGCGCGCGAGCGAGGCGGAGGTGGTGCCTCGAAACTATAGGAAACGAGAGGTCGGGTTTTAGACGAAAGGCAACGCTTGTTCAGAAAATAATTCGGATGAACGACGGAAATAGCTTGGATGTGTCTTTCGAGTGAAGGCAGACGTGAGCCCACAACCCTCGCTATGTCCGTTGTGACGTACAAGGAAAAATAAGCAGAGGGAGACACAGAATGAGACTGATTCGAAGGATAAAGGACTACGTTGAAACTAAAGGGTGCGAGTGCGACTGAAGCGTTGAAGCTAAAGGGAGTTCATTCGGCCCCTTGTCACTTCTCAAGCTGACAGGAGGGAAATGAAGAAGGAACGAGACGGCATGTGGCAGAGAGGAGGAGGGTAGTGAGAGGAGCTGGCAGTGAGGAGGGGGGGGGAGGCCTTGTTTGCTTTAGGAGAGGGGCTCGTGGGAATTCACCGTCGCGCTCGAGGCGATGACCGGAGCCAACGGCTCAGGCCAGTGGTGGAAATTCCAAGTTCCCGTGAAGTGGACAGTCTCTAGCAGGGGGCCAATTAAACAAATGGACAACGGAGCAGCAGCGCTCATCTCTGTGGGAGTAACGGGGAGGGGGGGGGGTGCTTAGACACTTGGAGAAGAGGACTCTTACAGTTGTCTTTGATGGTGGTGGTGGTGATAGCAATGACTGTTGCTGGTTTTGGGCGTATCGAAAGTGATGGAGTTTTGTGGTATGTGCGATTGTGTTGTAGGGAATGATGTGTAGTCCTGTTGGTGGTGGCATTGAATAGCTCTGGTGTTGTTGATGGTATTGATGATAACAATAGTACTGTTGGTGATGTTATTGGTGGTGGTGAATCGCTATTGTGGTATTGAAGAAGTTGTAGGTGATGGTTGTATGGAATGTTGAACTTATTTCGCACCGTACGTAGCCAGCCATGCTAATCGGAGGTGGTTGAAGTGTTGATGTTGGTGGTAGTGGTGATGTTGGTGCTGCTGATGTTATTTTTGGTGGTGTTAATGATGTCGTTGGTGGTGGTGGTGTCGGTGCGTAGTGGTCTGCTCGCCGTCTGGTGCGACGACCTCTCCGTGCTCGTGTTTGACGTGGAGATGAAGAAGATCGTCAGGGTCTTGAACGGGCACGGCGCTCAGATCACAGATGCCGTGAGGATCTACACCGCTCGCCACACGTCACTACACCTCACCTCCACGCCTCCACACCTCACCACACGCCTCCAAGTGTGTTTCTTTGTACGTGCGTCTTCATTTTTCGCTGTGGCTTTGTGTGATCAGTCTGGCTGTCTGGGTTTGTCACCGCATGGGTGAATATATTTAATGTGTGTGTCCATGTGTACATAGCTGTGGGTATTTTTGTGTTTCTGTGTGTGTGTGTATCCACATGTATATCTGTGTCGGTATGTCTCCGTGTGTGCATCTGCATGTCTGTGTCTCCTGTCTGTATCGCTGTATATCTTCCTCTGCTTGTCTAAGTGCGTGTCTGCGTCTCCATCTGCCCGAGTGACTGACTGCACGTCCGTGTAACTCCGTGTCTCCGTGCGTCTTAGACGTTCAGCCCGGACGGACGCTGGCTCCTCACGGCCTCAATGGATCGCAGCGTGCGGACCTGGGACCTGCCCTCGGGCTGGTACATACACGACACACACACTACACACACACTACACACACTAGACACACACTACACACACTACACACACTAGACACACATTACACACACTAGACACACACTACACACACACTACACACACTAGACACACTAGACACACACTACACACACTACACACACTACACACACGACACACACGACACACACTACACACTAGACACACACTACACACACTACACACACGACACACACGACACACACTACACCCACTAGACACACACTACACACACTAGACACACACTGCACACACTGCACACACTGCATACACTGCACTCACTGCACACACTACACACACGGCACACACACACACGCTATGTACAAAGAGAACAGTTCCTCCATATAGCCTTAACAGACTTTGGTTGAGTACGTTTAGCCAGCACCTATGAAGGCCAGAACGGCACACACAAGAGGTGGGTAGTGCTGATGTTTACACACTGCACCGGGTACTCATTTCAGTCTAAGTAAACATAGGGGAGGCCCAGGGCAGGTTCAGATAATAGTTTGCTAATCGCTACATCACTAGATACACGTGCCACACCACACACTCTGCATGCATGTTTCACTTTTTTCGCACCGTACGTAGCAACTGTGCTAATCGCACTCACTCTATACACACTATATACGCATACCAAACCACACACTCACCCATTGTACACACAAGCTCACTACACACACACACACGCTCTACACAGTGTACACACACGCACTATGTGGTGGTATTGCTGCGGTACTAATGGTGGATTGGTGGTGGTGGTGGTCAGCCTGGTGGACGTGCTCGCCGTCTCCTCGCCCGTCGTGAGCCTCTCCATGTCGCCCACGGGCGACTACCTGGCCACAGCCCTGAGCGACCACCTGGGAATCTACCTGTGGTGAGTTGACACGCTCACCCGCCCACTCACTCCTGAGCTCTCGCTTGTCCACCCACTCGCGCGTAAACTCGCCCACATACTCACTCGCCCGCCCACACACTCACTCGCCCGCCCACACACTCTCTCGCCCGCCAACACACTCACTCGTTCGCTTGTCCACCCACTCACGTGTAAACTCGCCCACACACTCACTCGCCCGCCCACACACTCTCTCGCCCGCCAACACACTCACTCGTTCGCTTGTCCACCCACTCACGCGTAAACTCGCCCACACACTCGCTCGCCCGCCCACACACTCTCTCGCCCGCCAACACACTCACTCGTTCGCTTGTCCACCCACTCACGTGTAAACTCGCCCACACACTCGCTCGCCCGCCCACACACTCTCTCGCCCGCCAACACACTCACTCGTTCGCTTGTCCACCCACTCACGCGTAAACTCGCTCACACACTCACTCGCCCACACACTCACTCGCCCGCCTGCCCGCCCAACCACTCACTCGCTCGCTTGTCCAAACACTCACTGAATTGCTCACTGAACCTCACGAAAGTCAACTCCGTCTTTGTCTTTGTACGCAGCATGAGTGTGTAGGTGTGTGTGTGTGATGGTAGTGCAATGATTAGCACGCACTGCATTACCAACCCAGCGACCCAAGTGCGTTTTCCGCTTACGGCCAGCACCAGTGACGATATACTGAATCGGTTATGGGCCTCCCCTAGGTCAACTCGGCTTCAAATTAGTACTGAGTGCGATTTGTAAACATCGCCACTGGGGAGACAAATGCGGCCGGGCGTGGTGCTGGCCACCCCCACCCCCTCGTGTGCCGATCTGGCTTTCATAGGTGCTCGCTAAGGGGCCGTCCATAAATGACGTCACGTGATTTTGGACGATTTTTGACCCCTCCCCCCTTCGCCACACGGCGTCACAAAAAGTCAGACCCCCCCCCCCTCAAATATGACGTCACAAAGCTCTGCCCCCCTCCCCTAAAAAGAAAACATGCTTCAAATCGCTTTAAACTATTGTCATTGTAGTGCGTATTTAATGTAGCGCTGCACTCTGATGTTGTAGGAGAAAATATTTATTAAAAAGTCTATTTAATTAAGTAGAACGTGTCGTCTATATTTATTGAAAGTTGCGCATTTTGATGTGACGTCACATTTCTCAAGCCCCCCCCCCCTCTCGTCACACATCGTCACAAATGTCTGACCCCCCCCCCCCCCCAGGTGCTTGACGTCATGGACGGTCCCTAACAGCACTTGCCCCAACAGTCTGTTAAGGTTTCGCAGGAGATCTTTGTGTATAATACGACGTGCGTGTGCTCTCTGTGCAGGTCTAACAGGAGCATGTACACGCACGTGTCCCTGCGGCCGCTCCCGGCTGACTACGAGCCCAGGACGGAGGCTCTGCCGGGAGGAGCTGCTCACGGTACGCAGAGCACTCGCTCACCCACTCACCAACTCATTCATTAACTCGTTCACTCACCAGCTCACTCACCCACTCACCAACTCATTCGTTAGCTCGTTCACTCACCAGCTCACTCACCCACTCACCAACTCATTTAACTCGTTCACTCACCAGCTCGCTCACCCACTCACCAACTCATTCGTTAGCTCGTTCACTCACCAGCTCATTCACCCACTCACCAACTCATTCGTTAGCTCGTTCACTCACCAGCTCATTCACCCACTCACCAACTCATTCGTTAGCTCGTTCACTCACCAGCTCACTCACCCACTCACCAACTCATTCGTTAGCTCGTTCACTCACCAGCTCACTCACCCACTCACCAACTCATTCGTTAACTCGTTCACTCACCAGCTCACTCACCCACTCACCAACTCATTCGTTAGCTCGTTCACTCACCAGCTCACTCACCCACTCACCAACTCATTCGTTAACTCGTTCACTCACCAGCTCACTCACCCACTCACCAACTCATTCGTTAACTCGTTCACTCACCAGCTCACTCACCCACTCACCAACTCATTCATTAGCTCGTTCACTCACCAGCTCACTCACCCACTCACCAACTCATTCGTTAACTCGTTCACTCACCAGCTCACTCACCCACTCACCAACTCATTCGTTAGCTCGTTCACTCACCAGCTCACTCACCCACTCACCAACTCATTTGTTAACTCGTTCACTCACCAGCTCACTCACCCACTCACCAACTCATTCCTTAGCTCGTTCACTCACCAGCTCACTCACCCACTCACCAACTCATTCGTTAGCTCTTTCACTCACCACCTCACCCACTCACCAACTCATTCGTTAACTCGTTCACTCACCAGCTCACTCACCCACTCATCACCTCATTCATTAGCTCGTTCACTCACCAGCTCACTCACCCACTCATCACCTCATTCATTCATTGGCTCACCAACTAATTTATTCACTCGCTTCCTTACCCACTCACCAGCTCATTTATTGGACCCAACAGCTTATTAATTCACTTCCTCACTCACCAGCTCATTCACCAGCTCATTCAGCATCTCATTCATTCACCCATGCACTCGCCACCTTATTCATTTTCCATTGCATCAAGTCACTTGCCAAATCATTCTCCGTTTCATATGTGCAATAATAACTCACACATTCATCTACTCATTTATCCCATTAACTTCTCTGATCACTTTGAGCAGCTCATATACTCGTTCGCCATTTCATTGATTTACTTCACTCTGCCATTTTCACACGCATTTACCATTTCATTTGTCATTTAACTCAATTAAATCACCGCTTCGCCCATCTCACTTGAGAATATCATGCACCATGTCAGCCGTTCATTGACTAATTTACTGTCGCCCACGTTCACCGACTCGCTCTATAACTAACTCGCTAGCTATTTTTATTTCACCAAGTAATGTCCGCTGAACTACGTAGATTTATTTTTTCAGAAGCGACCTGGCCACAAATGATGGCTCAACTGAATTGGCTTATCACGTGCAAATTTATAGCAGCCAAATACTGAAAACGCATGTTGGTTCTAAATATGGAGCAAAAAACCAGAGGACCCGGAGAAAAATCCACATGACCACGGGGAGAGAGAGACACGCAAACTCCAAATATACACGAGGCATCGAGGTCCAGATCAATCCCACGACCTCCTGCATACCAGGCCGAGGTCGCAAACGGGTTTTGATTCCTTACCCGTAGCCGGCCGCACCAGGGTCTAAAATGGGTACCCGTACCCTACCCGATACCCGGCTACCCGTACCCGGCCGGGTATCGGGTAGGGTACGGGTACGGGTACCCGATTGCGACCTCTGGGATGAAGCCATGTTGCAGGCGCGGGTGGGTTGATTCTAGGAACTTGAATTGTGAGAAGAGACAAGACGTTGGGAAATGAGTGACAAAGGGTTACTCACCAGTGACTCACGGCCTACCCGTACCCGGCCGCACCAGGGTCGCAAACGGGTACCCGTACCCGGCCGGGTAGTCGGGTATCAGGTAGGGTACGGGTATCAGGTACCCGATTGCGACCTCTGATACCAGGCGAGGTAGTTGAGGTCTCACCAGCGTGGTTGCCTCCACCGGGGCGGGCGTAGGTGGTGACGTCGCGGTGCGAGAAGATGAGGACTTTGGCGACGACGTGGACGGGGGCGACGAGGCGATGGTGTCCGAGTTCCACTCCCCGGAGCAGCTCTCCGAATCGCTCGTCACCCTCTCGTCCGTGCCCGAGAGCCGCTGGAAGAACCTCCTCAACCTGGACGTCATCAGGGCAAGGGCTCGCGCTCGCACGCACGCAACGACGACACGACAACAAAGCTCACACCCCCCCCCCTGTATATACTTGACGGACCAAAAAAAATAATACAAAATAATAAAATACAAAATAAGAATAAAGTAAAAAAATAAAAATAACTAAATTAAATCACGACGTTTCGGGCGCGACACAGGCGTCCGTCATCAGGCGGGGACAACCACAGCGAAAAAAACCGCTGAAGTTTGCCAAAGAGATGACTGTGACAAGGGATTATATATTATATAGCTGAGGGGGGGGGAGCCAGGGTGAGTGTGGGGGCAGGGCGTGGGCTGGAGGAGAGCGGCAAGCATGGTCCTAATGCTCAACCAAAAGCTCAACCTAAAGCTCGACCTAAAGCTCAACCTAAAGCTCGACCTAAAGCTGTGACACGTTGGGGGGGGAGAACTCTGCAGGCTCGGAACACTGCACGGCAAATCTCCAAGTATTTTTCACCTACGTGAAAGAACCAAAAAAGTACTTGACAGACCGTTGGGGCAAGCGCTGTTAGCTCCGTAGCACCTCAATGAAGGCCGGCACGGTGGCACGCGAGGGGGGGTGGGCGGCCAGCACCACTCGCACAAACAACAACACCACTAAGTGGCGGTGACGTCACCACGGCGCTTGTTCCACACGCGCGCACACAAACACACGCACTCAAGCATGCTCGCACGCGTAGTTGAGAATTTGTTTTTTCGATGGAGCCACTCTCCTGTACTCCGAGGTAGCGTCTCGGAGAAACCTTTCACGTGATAAGCTCCTTTTATCACGTCTCATCTCAACGCATTAGAAATGACACCCCCGCAGAAGGTGGTTCACCACATGGCTTGTGAGTGGGGAGTTAGTCTGCCAATTGCTATGTGTTATCCCAATTGAGTAATTTGCAGGTAATATTTAGAATTTAGGTCAAAATGTGGACCGTGTACCCAGGCGCACAATGGCCTAATCGTTTGGAATGACGCGCACGCTAGCGTTCGACGCATACGCACGGAAAATATCTTACGCACGCACACCCACTCACAAGCCTCGTGTGTTCCTGTTCAGCACTGCGATCTCGAAGCGGCGTGTTATACCCTAGCATAGAATAAAACCAGCATAGAGGAGATTTTTAAAAAATTGCTCTTTTAATTCAACGACGACCCGATATTGCCATCATTACCACATCCTCTTGTTTGAGTTGACTGTCAGTTCCCGTTGAAAGAGATGACTGCGGGCTTACTGTTGGAGTGAAGTCGCTGTCAGTGTTGACCTTTGGTCGCCTCTTCTTTACAGAAGCGGAATAAACCCAAGGAGCCTCCCCGTGCCCCAGAAAAGGCTCCATTTTTCTTGCCGACCACTCCAGGGCTGACACCGGCCTTCTGTGCCCCGGCCAACGCGGACTCGCAGGCAAGTCTTTGTGTGTCTGTCTTTGTGTGGGTGTCTTGTGTGAATTGGTCCTGGGCCTCCCCTAAGTCGGCTCAGCCTCAACTGAGTACCTGGTAGAGTGCGTAAACGTTGCCCCTCGGGAGACAAAGGAGGTCAGGTGTGGTGTTGGCTACCCACCCCCTCGTGTGCCGTGCCAACCTTCGTAAGTGCTACTCGCTAACAACGCTTCCCCGAAAGTCTGTTTAAGACTATATAGGGGATCTTTGTCTTTGCGTGGAGAGGTGGCGTAGTTGTTAGCACCGCTCTGCTTTGAACCCGGCGACCAAATATCTCAATCGGTTCTGAGCCTCCGCGAGCTTGACTCGACTTTAAATGAGTACCTGGTGCAATGTGTAAACAGCATTTCTTGGAGAGACAAAGGCGGCCGAGCGTGATGCTGGCCATGCCACCCCCATGCACACTGTCTCAACCTTAATAAGTGCTTGCTCATAGCACTTGCTCCAATACTCTATACAGACAGCTTTGAATCTGTAAAGCTTACAAAAGCATAACCGTTGTGCCATTGTGATAGAATGGCGCTTTGTGCGATAAGAAAGGTGCAAATACCAAATGTATTTTTTGCGTGTACGTGCGTGCGTTTGTGTGTGTGCTTTTGTGCGCCTGTGTGTGTGTGCCTGTGTGTGTGTGTGTGTGCCTGTGTGTGTGTGTGCCTGCAGGCCGTGACCAAGGTAGTGCAGCTGGGCCACTTGAATCCCAAGTCGGAATTCAGCCGGAGCCTCGAGGAGGCGTGGGAGTCGAACGACTGTGAGGGCACGGGGAGTTGGGGGGGGTACACACACGCGAGAACCCTCGCTAACATTGCCATCAGACGCAGCCGTAGGGCGCGTAACAATTCATCCACCTACCATGATTCTGGATGACGCTACAGTTTCATGATGCATCCATTTCCCTGTGTCCTCTCTATTGTCCTCATCCCTGTGTATCCCCCTCGTCCCCGTGTCCCCATGTCCCCCCCCCCCCCGCCTCGTCCGCGTGCCCCTCCTCACCCCCGTAGTCTCGGGGCCCCTTGGCGAGCTCTCGTCGCTGCCCCCCGGCACGGTGGAGTCGGAGCTGCGGGCGCTGGGCCCCGCGTGGGGGGGCTCCCCGCTGCTGCTCGCCGCCTTCCTGCGCTCCGCCCTGCACGGCCTGCGCTCGCGCGGGAACTTCCAGCTGCTGCAGGCCCAGCTCGCGCTCTTCCTCAAGGTGCGGGCTTGTAGGGTCATTGTGGTACGGGTCGTGGGTTTGTGAGGTCATCGGGGTACAGGGTCGTGGGTTTGTGAGGTCGTTGGGGTACGGGTCGTGGGTTTGTGAGGTCGTTGGGGTACGGGTCATGGGTTTGTGAGGTCATTGTGGTACGGATCGTGGGTTTGTGAGGTCATTGTGGTACGGGTCGTGGGTTTGTGAGGTCATTAGGGTACAGGGTCGTGGGTTTGTGAGGTCATTGTGGTACGGGTCGTGGGTTTGTGAGGTCGTTGGGGTACGGGTCGTGGGTTTGTGAGGTCATTGGGGTACAGGGTCGTGGGTTTGTGAGGTCATCGGGGTACAGGGTCGTGGGTTTGTGAGGTCATTAGGGTACAGGGTCGTGGGTTTGTGAGGTCATCGGGGACAGGGTCGTGGGTTTGTGAGGTCATCGGGGTAAAGGGTCATGGACTCGCGGGGTCATCGGGATAAAGGGTCATGGGAACAATGTTAAGGGTCGTGTAAATGTTAAATTCACCCTTCCTCCAATTAATGATTTAGGATTGTGATTTCATTCAAGAATTTGGTTTTTATATGTGAATAAGATTAGCACCTTACTCGTATGTTCTGTCACATTTGTACAGTTCTGTTAGATCCGTTCACCTAAATGTATTGGCAACTAATATGCCTCATTTGCATAAACCTTCAATCTTGCGTCGGTCAATTCCTCCCCCTCTCCCCCGCGTGCAACAGCTGCACCTGCGCGAGCTGAGCGAGCACGAGGAGGTGGTGCGCGAGCTGGCGCAGGTGAGCGTCGCTCACGAGGACACCTGGGCCGAGGTGCAGCACCTGATGCTGCACACGCTGTGCGTGCTGGGATACACTCGCAGCGCTCTCTTCTGAGAGCCGTGACGGGGCCCGCTCTCTCTCCGGACTGTTGAGACGCACGTTTAAAGGAAAGGTTGAGGGTGCTACTTATAATCCGGTAGCTGCGTGTGGGTGTGTGTGCCATACGACATTTGAATAACTTTATTGGCACCGGGCACAAGTTTGGGATGCGTCGTGCTTTCTTGATGCGGTACCTACATCGCGCGTACACTCGTAAGCTCGCTCGCAACCTGTGCGCGGATTTCCACACTCCTCGCCTGTACTCTCATGCTCAATTTCAATGAAAAAATGGGAAGTTTTACTGGGTAGTGGTGTAGCGTGGCTGGCATGGTCCCAGGCGCAAGGAATTAAATGGGGAATCCAAGTCTACGCCACTGGTACTGGGCTATTCCTGGACTTGTTTCTTATCCAAATCTCAGGCTTGTGCAGCACATGGTGGTAATTGCCCATCCTGCTTTGTCCCCACTGCTTCCTCCTCTCTGCGGCTGCAGGGAAGCGATCGTAATATTCCTATTCGGTTTCAATGTACGCTTGCCTTAGCGTACCTTATTCCAAACAAGAGTGTAATATCCTAATTTTCTGCCGTGTTTTTTTTCACGCAACAACGCCACCATGGGGTTTGACCTTTAGCGGCGAGCGATGCCATCGACGGCAATGCTCTTCCGCGTTCCCCTTGTGACGTCACAAACGTTCGAGTTCCGAGGTTGGGCCTGAGTGAGAGTGCACAGCTCCCTGTGAAGTAAGGGAGCCACACTGCCCAGTTACAGCGAAGCCTCGTTGAGGCCTGGCTTGTTCCCATGTATGTATGTTGACATTTTTTCTAACCGTACGTAGCCAACCGTGCTAATTGAAGGTGCAGGAGAAGGATAAACTAAACGCCAAAAGCAATGTGTAGTGGTGTAAAATCTATAGGATCTGTAGTGCTACAAGACTAGAATCAATAGTGGTGTAAAACCATAAGCATCTGCGAGTCGAATTTAAATTGATTCATCCACGCACGACCACGTACGTGTACCATGTCCGAAAGTCTTGACCATTTCCCGTGAATTGTTACTTAATTTATTAACTCGTGCAAAACGGTGTTGTGTAGAATCACATCACAGCCTTGTTCATTTCTTAGTCGCAATTGCATGTTCACGCCACTGCTGACCGAAAGGGGCCTCCTCTCGAGTTATTTGGCCTAAATTTTGATTTAAAGCTTTCGTGACTGCAGGGATTCATCTTCTTGGTTCTTTCGGTAAAGTCACGTAGAATGGAAATAATAAAATAATAAAAATAAAACATAATAAAATAATTCTCACGACGTTTCGGCCACAACGCAAGCAGCCGTCCTCAGGTGAAGACCAGGTCTGTCGGGGAGACTTCAGACGCTGTCTCCCCGACAGACCTGGTCTTCACCTGAGGACGGCTGCTTGCGTTGTGGCCGAAACGTCTTGAGAATTATTTTATTATGTTTTCTTTGTATTGTTTCCCTTCTACGTGACTTTACCGAAAGAACCAAGAAGTATTTGGCCTACTTTACCACTTTGTAAGATGTTTGGGAAGAGGCCAGAGTACCCACACTCTACCCCGCCACACGTGACCTGCCAATCAACTCGCTGTGCCGTATCCATTTATACTGCCGGGTGGGAAGAGGCACAGGGGCATTTGAGAAACTTGGTGGTAACTCAAGTTTAACTGTTGGTGGAAAGTGGGTCAAGTCGACAAGAATCCGGGAAGAGAAACTTGACGGAAAGTGTTGGTGGGGAAAGTGTTGGTGGCAACATTTTCTCCGTGAAAAAGTGACGACGAGAGTTGTTGGGGGCCCCCGAATGTTGTACTCGGTAAACATGGAAAGATTCGCAGCTCCACAACATCACACGCACCATCGCACAGCATCGCACACATGACCGCATCGCGTCACGCATGACCGCATAGTGTCACCCGCATCGCCATGAATACAGATTTGTACAAAAAACACATTGTGCCTACCGTTGCATCCCATTTTTAATGCAAGTGGGGTGGGGGAAAAACCTTAAAATTTGTTTTAATAAATATTAATTGAGTAAATGGAGCAGGGTGGTTCTGTGATTAAAAACAAGCTGGCAAGCCAGTTTGTGTGGGGAGCCTCCCCTGTGCGAGGGGCATCTGCTGTACAGGAAACGTGCGTTAACGCGCTGTGCGTATCTATATTTTTGTAAAGCGTTTTCATGGCTGTTCCGATGCGTTGTCCGGTTGTACCACGTGCTGTTCGGCTCGAACGACGTTTCGCTCCACTTGTTGTGGGGGCTTCTTGAGGAATCCGAATAAAGTGGCTCGCTTTCTCACTCGGTTAGTTTGCGTTGCCTGCTGTTGGTGGTGTTGCCGGGTCTTGATGGCGATGAACGGAACGTCGGACATCGCTGCGAACAACGCAGGGTACAACCCGAATACGCACCTGGGAGCCGTACAACAGAACAAAAAAAACATTCCCAAGAGCAACTTTTTGTCCCAGTTTTGCCTAAACGCTCTACAGCTCGTGGTGGTGGTGGTGTTGGGCAGGTGTGTGGTGGTTACAGGTTTTTTGTGGTTGTGTAAAAACGTAACTTGTCTTTGTCGACTGATGGGGACACATGGACAGAGAACTCCCTGTTGCATAGGAACAAGTGACATCTGCCCCTAATAAACGCAAGGAAATTGACTCAAAATGACACATTTGAGTAAAGTGCAAACGTTTTTGCAAAAAAACAACTAGCAAATGTAAATATAAATTAAATGAATTTCATATGTGAAATGTGACCTATCCTATACTTTTGTATTATCCTTAAACATCTTTAAACCACCCTAATTTTAGTAATGTGCCATAATCGGTGGTTCAAACAAACTATCGCCATGGATGCGTAGTCTATGAAGGGACAATCCTTCAAGATTCTCAAGACATTCGGCAGCGTGGTCACTGCGGGTGCGCCTGTGGCCCCTTTTGGCCCACGTGTGTTTCTGAGACGATGTTAACAGGGGGGGGGGGGGGGGCAGGCAGTCGGCCTGAACCATTTGGGGAAAATCTCTGCGGTTTTTCTGACATTGCGATTTGATTTGCGATTAAAACATTTTTAAGTCAAGCCTCAGTTCAATATTCACTGTGTCATAGATTTAAAACGTGATGGAGCATTACCACATGATACCATCAAAATATGAACTGCTCTCAATAGTCTAATGCAAGGATAAGAACTTAAAAGATATGAATTTCTTTCAACATGTATTTATTAAAATGTTTTAATTGAAATCGAACAATCAAACATAGAACAATTGTTAAGTTAAATAAAGTCATAATAAAAAATAAAACAATTCCAATAAGAAAATAATAGGACTTTTAAAATCGCAAACAATCGCAGTCTTTGCGATTTGCTAATCGCATTTTTTCAAATTTCGATTTAAAATCGATTAATCGTTCAGCCCCTAGCAGCCAGGTGCGAGGTGGATGAGAGGGGGGAAGACGGGAGGCGGAGGTGAGACGTCAAGCCTCGCATCAGAATCGAGATGTGTGACCAATTCCTAAATGCATCCATCATCGCGCGTGGCAGGCGGGAAGCGGACGACACCGACGGTGCTGAGAAGACGACACTCACTGCACTCTGATGAGTCGGTTCACATTGCTGGGACGCTGTGATGATCATCGTCGGCGTGAACACTCGCGTAGATAAGACATGGGTGGAAAAAAACCCGATTTTTCCAGCGGCAGGCATCGGGTTTTTTCTTTAATACAATTAAACCCGATTTCGGGGAATTAAAACCTGGTTTCATGAATACGAAACTCTGATACAAGGCTTAGGCTGCTTCCTCGTCGGTGCTGCTATCGTATTCGGGGGGGGGCCGTCGGGCACGGGGTAGTCGTAGAATGCGGCGGGCAGGTTGGTCTTGATGAACACGAGCTTCTCCACAATCGTGGGCGCCAGTGAGTTCCTTAGCTTGGAATGGATGAAGCGGCTGGCGAAGTGCGGTTCTGCAATTAGAACCAATTAAACCGGATTTCTCCCAATCTCAGATGATCGGCTATAATATAAAAAGACAATTAAACCCGATTGTAAAAAAACCCGACTGTGCCACCTTTGAGATAAGAGACGGCCACACGCGTGTTTTTGTATGTGTCATACACAGCCCCTACCGCCACGGACATCGGACTAAAGTTGATTTCCTGCTCGATCGGGCTTTGAGGCAGTGCTCAAAAATGTCCATTGTCCTGAGCCGATGCTGCTGGAAATTCCACATTCCGACGGTGGAAGCGAGTCGTGTCCACAGGCCCAGTCGCCGTTGGCTTCCCCGACAGAGCGGCTGCTCGTGGGATCAACCCCCAGTGGACCCCCAACCAGATATTTGAACTCGCCGAGTCGGTCACACAGAGGACATACGAGGTGCTCGCCAACAGCATTTGCGCCCATCATCCCCCGGGTGTCTCGCTGTGGAGGCAGATCCGCTTGCTTCGTGAGCGCGCAACGTTGCGCCTCGGAAGGGCTGTGTGGGGGTAAATATTGTCGAGTGGAGGTGACACTCGCTAATATCGCTCATCTGGCTTCATATTCGGCTTCTCATATCGTGTAAACGCGTTAGCGCTCCTGGCAGCGGGCGCTCCTCGGTGGCTGCCTGTCTCTCGCGCTTTGCGTCCCGTTGATGGAGAGAGCTATTGAGCTTTGTTTATGAAGCCCTGCTGATGTCGTTTTTGCCGATGTGAGGTCCGCGCAGTGTGCTGATGCATCCCATCACGCACACGCGGAATTGCACACCCACACATTGACACACCCGTATGCGTCCGAGTGTTTCCGCGCACAATTTTCACGGTGTACGTAGAGACGTTTTGACACACCGTGTATACACATCTGACTCTCTAGGGGACATACGAGGACACGGACCCCCCCCCCCCCCTCCTTTGTTTTAGCGAGCACCCGCCGAAGGTCGACATGGTCCACGAGGGTGTGGATGGCGATGGTTACGCGCAGCAAGCAGGCGCTCATTTGAGGCTTGAGTCGATCAAGACGGGCAGGTGACAGGTCAATTTAGCACGTGGCACCTGATGAGTTTAACATCGCCTCGAATCTAACCCGGGCCTCCTGCAGGATCGTAGCAAAGTGTGTCGACCACTGTACCACCACGCACACAGCCTTTTATAATAATAGGTGATCGCTAACAGCACATGATCCTAATTGCGGGACCCCGGGGTACCAAATAATACGAAATGGCCGAGGCATCTTTGGGTCTTTCGGTAAAGTCACGTAAATAGAAAAATTATGATAAAAATAAAGTGAACAAAAATGTAAATAAAAAAATAATACTGTAGCCTGGTTCTTAATCGGAGTGAGTGTATTGGCAGTCTATAATGTAGACTGTCGCCTTGTTCTTAACCTCGGTGTGTGTAGTGGCAGTCTATAATGTAGACTGGAGCCTGAAAAATACTAAAAATAAATTACATATGTTATTTCTGGGACACTATTTTCCCAGGGGTGTACTTAACTCCGCGACTGGGTTACCAATCAATCCGAAATCAGTGCCACACTCCGCGATGTCGAAACGATGCGAGGACGATTGCGCTGAAACCCTGAACGCTTGTACGCACCTTAGTGGTGCATCGTGTACAGCTCGTCGAGATGAGTCGATTGCCGCATCGCCGACCATCAACGGATTGAAAATCACTGCATCAACGGACATCATGCGAGAGCCGGGGTATTATGGAACCCCGGGGTACCGCCATCAGGTTCATCAGTTGGTAAAGATAGAAGTTGCAGAGATTGTTTTGTCTTTGTGTGCCCGCGCATATGATTGTCTCTTCAGAAATCTCTACTAATCCGATAAGTAAATGCCACACAAAGGCTGGGGGAAGGAAGAATATCAGAATATTCAATGTAATAATAGTAATACACAAAAACCAACAGGGAGTTTTGTGTGATTGTGTAGCGCGGTTTGATGAAAGGAAACTGCGGCCCCTGAGTTACGACCGGTCGGGTTTGACGCATTGCCGTGGGGTCTAAAAGGTCCTCTTTTAAAGCCGGCGATGTCTCCTGCAGATTGCATCCATTGCGTAAAAACAACAGAAGGAAAGAGGTGTGTGTGGGGGGTGTGTTTGTCTTCGCCAGAATTTTTTTTAGGATTTTGAACTTTAGACCCGTGCGTCGGCACTGCTCGTTCATTCCACAGCAAGAGGCGACCGGCATTTGATAGTTTGTGTGGGAAGAGAAACACGTCACTCAAATGTCCCGAATTACTGAACTAAACTACTGAACTTTATAGATATTTTCTTCATAAGCGACGAATGATAGCTCAGCGAAGTGGCTTATCACGTG